TGAGTGGATAAGGTTTGATTCTCCACAGTTTCCCTTTGTGTATGGGTTTTATACTTCAGTGTTTTCCAGTAGGTTTTATGCTTTAATGTGGGTTTTGTTGTGACATAATCTTTTTTTTTTTTTTTGACAGGCAGAGTGGACAGTGAGAGAGAGAGACAGAGAGAAAGGTCTTCCTTTTTCGTTGGTTCACCCTCCAATGGCCGCCGCGGCCAGCGCGCTGCGGCCGGCGCACCGCGCTGATCCGATGGCAGGAGCCAGGAGCCAGGTGCTTTTCCTGTTCTCCCATGGGGTGCAGGGCCCAAGGACCTGGGCCATCCTCCACTGCACTCCCTGACCACAGCAGAGAGCTGGCCTGGAAGAGGGGCAACCGGGACAGAATCCGGCGCCCCGACCGGGACTAGAACCCGGTGTGCTGGCGCCGCTAGGCGGAGGATTAGCCTAGTGAGCCGCGGCGCCGGCCGTGTGACATAATCTTTTAAAAATTTTGTTTTCATTTTTATTTGAAAGGCAGAGAAGCAGAAATACAGAGACAAAGATCTTCCATCCACTGATGTACTCCCTAAATGCCTACAATATCCAGACCTGGGCCAGACTAAAACCAGGAGCCTGGCACTTAACCTGGGTTGCTGGCGTGGGTAGCAGGGACCCGAGTACTGGAGCCATCACTTGCAGCCATCCACGGTGTGCATTAGCAGGAAGCTAGGTCAGGAGCGGAGCAGCCTGGACTCAAACCGAGTACTCCGATTTCCAATGTGGGCTTCCCAAGCAGAAACCTGACTGGTGTGCCACATGCCCGCCCTGTGATTGTTGTTCTCTGTATTTTGCTTCCGGGTGTAGAACTCCCCTTAACATCTTTTGAAAGGCCAGTTTGGTGGTGATGAATTCCTTCAAGTTTTTCTTGTCTTGGAAAATCTATTGCCCCTTGATTTTGAAGGATAGCTGTGCTCGTGTTCTTGGTTGGCAGTTTTTTTTTCTTTCAGAACTTGAATATGTCATTCCTTGTCCTCATGGCTTGTAAGGTGTTTACTGAGTGATTTGCTGTTACTTGAAATCTTGGTGTTGCACTTTGCTAGTTCCATCATAATGTGCACGGTGAGGCTCTTCTCTGGTTGTGTCTCTCCGAGGTCCTGTCCACCCTGGGTATTTGGATGTCCATATCGAGATTGGTGATACTTCAGCCTTAAGGTCACGAAATAGTGTTTCTGTGCCTGGACTCTTCCCCTGCAGATAGCCCCAGAATTCAACTCTCTGTTCACGTAGTGGTATCCTAAAGGTCTCAGAGTTGTCATCATTTGGTGGGCAGATATCTGTCTTCAAGGTCAGATACTGCAGTTTGCTTTTGAGGATTTTAACTGTAGTCTTTAAAATCTGTAAATATGTATTTAAGAGGAAGAGAGATGGAGAGAGAGAGATGTCCATGATAGCCAGAGCTGGAATAAAGATGGCAACCAGGGGCCGGCGCCGTGGCTCAATAGGCTAATCCTCCGCCTTGCGGCGCTGGCACACCGGGTTCTAGTCCCGGTCGGGGCGCCGGATTCTGTCCCGGTTGCCCCTCTTCCAGGCCAGCTCTCTGCTGTGGCCAGGGAGTGCAGTGGAGGATGGCCCAAGTCCTTGGGCCCTGCACCCACATGGGAGACCAGGAGAAGCACCTGGCTCCTGCCATCGATCAGCATGGTGCGCCAGCCGCAGCGCGCCGGCCACGGTGGCCACTGGAGGGTGAACCAACAGCAAAGGAAGACCTTTCTGTCTCTCTGTCTCTCTGTCTCTCTCACTCTCTCACTGTCCACTCTGCCTGTCAAGACAGCCAAATCCATAAGCAGATGGCAACCAGGAGAACAATCCACATCTGCCGCCTGCATAGCAAGAACCCAATTTCTTGAGCCATCACAGTTGCCTCCCAGGGCCCGCACTGACAGGAAACTGGGGGTCAGGAATTGGAGCCAGCAAAGAATGCACAGGGCGGCCTCTGCAGGATGCAGGACTCTTAACCATTTGCCCAAAGGGGCACTCTCCTAACTGCATTTTTTTGTTTCGCTTATTGTGTTATTTTCTAAGATTCCTGTTTGGCTCCTTTTTCAGGATCTTTCTCTCTCTGGTGATTTCTCATTCATATCATGAATTGTTTTCCTAATTAATGTCATCAAATCTGTATGCTTGTGTACCTCATGGAGTTTACTTCTAATTATTCTTTTAATTTATCAAACATGTCATCAATCTACTTTTCTTGGAAGTCTGTAGCTAAAGTTATTGTGTTCCTGTATCTTGTTTTTTTGTTCCCATATTGAGATTCACACATTGGACAGACCAGTGTTCTCCATCACTGTGATCAGGTGGCTTTATAATCAGTGATTCTTTTTTCCCTGAGGCTGTGTCTCCGAGGCATGTTGATGTGGTCAGCTGGTTGGCTGTGGTTCCATAGGGACACCACGGTTCTGGGCAGGGTACATGCAGATGCGGTATCCGAGAGCTCTTCTGATTCCAGGATCCATGTGTAGGGAGGGGGTACTGAGGTGGCCCAAGTAGGTGCGGTGTGTGCACATTCTGTGTGACTAATGCAGCGGTTTGAGCGATGGCATTGGAAACAAGGAGCATGCTGGGTATTTCTTTAGCAGCCTCATAGGGAGGAGGTGGGCAGAGTGCTGGCTCGGGCTCATTGCATGCTGGTGGTGGGTGGCTCTTGGTCCTGCTGTGGTGAAGGTGGACGGTGGAGCACATACTCTGTGGGCCAGCAGTGGCTAGTCATGAATGCTAGTAGCTTGGAACTCAGGCGCAGCAGCGTATATGTGAGGTCAGTGACACAGGCAGCATGACTCTGTGTACACAATGTCCCCCCCGTCATAGCAGTGGCTTGGGAGGAGACGGTCCAAGTCGCTGCCCTGAAGTGAAAGTCGATGTGGACACGAGGCAGCTGCCCGAACACGCCTCCAGGGCGGCAACATCTGTGTAGCTCTCCTGTCACTAAGGTTGCTGGCGTCCACAGGGTAGGTCCCGCTGACTGTGCTTCCCCTTTCACCCTTTCCTGCACACCAAGGAGTTGCCCTGGGCGAGAAGCACAGTCAGAGCTTCCTGTTGGCTTTACTGCAGTGCCTGCCGCTGTTGCTGTCACTGCCTCTCTGGCCGTGCGCCAGCTCCAAATGCAGCCATTTCTTGTCCTCATTCTTTTTCACACAGGAGAAGGCGAGAGCTCGGCACCGCTGTGCAGCCATCTTGCCAGGCAGCCTGGCTGAATTCTGAAAGGCCTTGATCTTCACGGCTGAATGGACGCGGTTTTAAGCATCCTAAATACATGTCATGTAGCTTTGCTGTTTCACATTCACCCGTTTGTAAAGGGATTTCTGTGTGTGCCGTGGGATAGAAATAACTGGGACTACTAAGGCTGGGAGCTCTTACTTCACGCATGTACCCTATTCTTCTGCTGGACAGTGAGAAATAGAGAGGAACAGGGCCTTGTTAGTTCTTTGCTCTAGGAGTGCTGGAAGTTGCAGGCGAGGCAGAGGGAAATGTCATCCTGCAGTGTAGTAAGGAGGCGGAAAGCTGGGAAGAGCTGTACACAGGGACTGGGTCCATCTCGAGTCCAGGAAGGCTTCTCATGGCTGGGAAGTGGAACACCGCTTGTCAAGACAGAACAGCTGCATGCAAGTCTGCACGAACACATGTTTTCAGTTGTTGGATATATGTATATCTGAGCAGGGAACTGCTAAGATCAAGGGTACATTTATATGATTGTTTTAAGAAAAGGAAAAAAATTTTTAATGATGTAAACCAGCTTTACTTCTAGTTTTATGTAAAGTATACAAATTTTATGTGTTTGAAGTAACGTAATGACACTTTGCACCCACCCCTCCCCCTCCTGCCTCTCCTATTCCCATTCTTATTTTTCACAAAGAGCTATTTTCAGTTAACTTGATACACATAAGATTAGCCCTACAGTAAGTAAACATTTTAACAAGTAGTATGAAGAAAAAACACTGTTCCTCAATAATTGAAACAACGGCTTTTTAAAATCATTGCATCTCAGAGTGTCAAGGTCACACCTATAGATTACTTTGTAGGTCCTCTTAGTTTTTCAGAGGGGCTGTATCATTTTATGTGCCTACAATGTATGTGCCTACAATGTGTGAGGTTTCCCATTTATCCATATTCTTACCAACATTTGTTGTCATGTCTTTGTATTATAGCCATTCTAGAAAGGGTGTGAACTGGATCTCACTGTGGTTTTAATTTGTATTACCCTAATTGACTAATATGGTTCAACTGTTTGTTTAACTTACCAGACTTCACCAAAGAGGATATATCAAAATGCTTATTTGAATCATTTACCCACTTCTAAGCTGGATTTTGAGTTGTCAGATACATAAAATATCAACTATTATGATTATATTTATATGAAAATTCCAGAACAGGCAAGGAGAGGTTGTTAGTGGTTGCCTGAGACTGGAGAGGGGAACTGAATCAACTGTATATAGAACTAAGGGATTTTTATTATGGGAATAACGATGTTCTAGACTGTTGTGAGCATTTAGGGAAGTGATATGTTTTTATTTCTCTGCATTTCAGATAAAGTGAAAAACTTAAGAACTTTTCAGAATGTCTTAGAACTGCATTGTGGTGGTTGTCTCATAGCTGAGCAAATTGTACTAAAAATAGTTACACACTTAAAGCAAGTGATTTTTAGCATTGTCTTAATATAAAGATCAAGCTAGTTTATCTAAGGAGGGATATTCTAAGAAGAAAGAAGTACGTGGACCCAGAGGCACATGGCATTGATGGGGAGGGAACAGAAATTGGGCTGGAAACAAGTGTGTGAAGTGGCAAAGGTAAAGCCAGAGGAGTGCGTGAAAGCTGCGTCCTCTGGGTCTCCCTGCCATGCTGGTCCTGTAAGGAGGAGAAAACTCACAACCCGACTTCTTGTTGAGATTCCGCTCTAAGTACAAAAGGTCATTTGTACACATTGCATTTCTGTGATTTCATGACTAATGTTACTTTCTTCACTTACTAAGGTCAATATTGGAGAACTGATGGCATCAGCAACATATCATACAAACAGAAAGAAAGATTGATAACATTTAGCCTGGACACTTTTGGCCCTATCACCTTGATCCAAGATACTCACATTAACATGCCGTACCAATCATGGGAGCTAAGGCCAATGGATTCAAATACAGTACTTCTGACTGTGACTACAGTGTTCACTGAGCTTCAAATACAAATTAAGGTGAGTTACTCTACTACAAGTTTCATCAAAGAGGCAACCTGTTTGATGGTGTAATAGTACGTTAAATCTGTCACTGCTGATTTATATATCGAACTGCAACTCTGTCATTACATTGACATTCCCTTGGAGCTAGCATTTCTGGGTGATGAATTGAATAGGCAATGACAGGTAAGCAGTGAGGCTCAAAGTTGTACAGATAAGTGAATGGACCAACGAGCCCAGTTGCAGTATCCATTTCAAAAATTTTTGAAGCACCCGTGAAGGGCTTCCTGATTTTTGTCTTCCAACCACTGAAGTCCCCCTCGCGGTTGGTCTCCACCTGAATGAGACTCCATTCCTCCTCAGTTAGAAATCAGAGTGTGAATTTCCAAGCACAGACGTCGACCAGTGGCTGCCTGGGGCTGAAGGCAGGGATGGAGGCTGGTGATGACTTCGCTGGTGCTGGCGGATCTTATCGGGAGGGATGGAAGTGCTCTACAGCTGGTGCATGGAGATAGCTGTGCACTCAGTTACTAAACATCACTGGGGAATACATGTGAAGTGATGATTTTATGATATAAAAACACATCTCAGGGTCGTTTTTGTAAAGAGAGATAGCTTGGAATTCTTGTGAATTGTGACAGATGACTAGAACAATAGCGACTGGGAGATGCAGAGCTCAGGGTCGTCTGTGCTATGAGGGCCCTTCAAATGCTGGTAACGTACCCTCCCACTTTATAGGGGGGGCGGGGAAGGAGGCCCCAGGAGGTTATGAAGCTGAGCGACTTTCGGAAGGTCGTGAAGGGGATTACAGATCTGGTGCCGAGTGAGGCTTTTGAACCCATGTGGTGCTGTTTCCCCTGTACCTTCCCAGCAGGCCTGCAGCCCCCTGTGGGAAAACTCTTCCTTTGTCCCCACAGAGACATACCAGCGCTTGCACACATGCTCATTTATTAATAGGAAGAAGGAAACCCCAGAAGCACTCAGTGTGCCTTACCAGGGCAGACTGCAGAGGAACATCCGTGCTAATATAGTAGCTACTGGCATTCTGTGGCTCAAGCTCCTGACACGTGACCAGCCGAAAGAAAGTAATACACTGTAACTATAGAAAGGACATTTGATCTTGAATACTTGGTCTGAAACATGAAAACTCATTACTTTTTATACTGATTACATATTGAAATATTTTATAGATTGGATAGAGTATTTTTAAATTTTGAGAGGCATGAATCTGTGTGCCTTCAAAGTGCCATTTTGCCAAACTCAAACTGGTAAGTTTTGCATCATGGTACATCATATGTGTAGATAAAATTAATGATCCTTAGACATGCAGTCAAGTATTTCCTGATTGAGTATGGGCATAAGCAGTATTCCTGTAGCTCAGAGGATAGCAAGAGACTTGAGAGAGCTTCTGGTCCACTGCCATGGTGGCTCAGAGGAAGCACTGGAAGGGTCTTGTTCATTGACTACTAAGGTAAAGTGGGGAATTTTACGCCTGGAGCCTTCAGGTCAGGCCTGATACACACCTGCCCTGCCTCCTCCTCAGTGCGGAGTGCTGCGGTTTCAAAGGGTAGCAACGTGAAGGATGGACCTAGAACATACTGAAATGATGATTTCCTTACTTTCTGTAAGCTTTCCTTTTTTATTTAAACCAGGAAAACCTCTGCATGTTAGCTTCGATCAAACTGAAAGACCAAGAACATCTCTCTATTTTGGAAGGAAAATGGATGGCTCCTGTTCCTTTCATTATCGCTTTGAAAGAAGCTGGGCTGAATATCTTCCCCTCGGAATACTCTCATTTCTATGTTGTTATGAACAGTAAGGCAAGAATGAAAATTTCTTCATTTAATATGGACACTTACAATGGTGATAAGTAGTGTACGTCAAGGTTCACCATGAGTTTTCTCTGTCCACTTGAAGGAAAGAATAAGTGGAAAGACCAGAAACCCAAGGTTCTCTTGAGTTTAATAATCTTCCCCAAGAAAATAAGCATGTAGTATCTTTCCTGTTAACAGCAGGTCAGTGTAGTGCAAGATAGTTTGAGCAACTTCATTTTTTGTACTGGCTGTTTTTCCATGAAGGCATGTACGTCTGATTTCATGAAAGAGTAAGTAATCCTGCATGTTCCCAAGCATGCTAAGTCAGGCAAAATTAAACACACACAAGGATCACCCGTGTACAAAATCCACTTCCTGTGACTTCTTGACAGAGCTCCTAGGTTGGTGAAATGTACTTTGTGCTCCTTCTAAGGCATTCAATAGGCTCCTTTTATGTTAAACTCTAGACTGTTCCCCCAACCATGTTAATTCTTCTAATTCTTAGAATACATATGGTACGCAAATGAAGACACCAAGTAACTTCTGATTGTGAAAGGGAGTATAAAACTCTTCTCTATACAAACTACAAGAACATACTCCTGAGTAGCCTGGAAAATGGCGCACCATGTAGGTAGATGGGACATTTAAAAACAAGCATGCAGCAAGGGATATGTAAATCTAGGCGTAGAAAAGAAACTCCTTGGTTTTAGTAACTGAAATTGCTTGCTACTCTGTAATGTTGAAGACTGTATCCTGTTCATGCTTCCAGAATAGTCAAGAACACTGGCCATGTACAGTTTGAGTATCTAGTTGAGTGCTGAGGTAACGAGAAATTAGGGTTTGAACAAAGGTTGACGGGAATGTATCCACATGTGTGTCTGGACACACTGCTTCCAGGCAGAGAGAACATCATCGCTGATAGAGAGCACAAGGGTGTAGCCCGGTGTGTTGCCGAGTGGAGGAAAGAACACAGTGGACAGGGAACCCGGAACTGATAGCGGGAGGTAAGGCCCGAAAGCTGCTGGGGTGTGGGGAAGAAAGGGTGGCTTCCGTCAGAGAGTCTTGTCAGTCTCTTAGAGTAGAGCCCCAAGCTACAACTGAAAGAGAGAAAGCCCTTGGCTCTGGTGTTGAGAGCAGACTGAAAGAAGCCGAGAATGGAAGGGAGACTTCCTGGGAAATCCTGAGGTCAACCCTATTTGTCGTCTTATTGACAGCTTCCTTTGGTAGAAATGAAAGCTTACCGACAAATGGCCCTGCTCAGTTCTGCTTTTGCATTTGGTTGGAGCAAATGGAATATGCTCTGCAGTTCTACAAAAGTTGTATTTAAGGTATAGTATGAAAAATCCATACTACACCTTTGTCCTCCGAAAGAAGATAGAGTACTCAAAACCTGAAGGAATGTAGACCATGGCCCCTCCTCTTAAAAAGGTAGAACAACACAACAATAAAGTGAAGACATTTTCAGCTCCATTTTGAGTGTCACATTTTAACTTTTGTCACACTTGAAACCAAGCTCTTTGAAGATTATGCCTTTGTTGTTATGGTACCAAGTGCTCTGGCCTTGAGGTCATGGTTCTCATCGGTGCCTCACCAGTCCTCCTCTGAGAGTGTGAGGCCTTGGCCTTCAGATTCTGACACACAGAAAGAAGGCGTCTCACCACATTCTACAATCCAGCCTACCCACACTTTAGCAGCAGTTAGTGAATGAGGTTTTGTTATTGCTTGTTTTTCCTCTACGGCAGTGCAGGTTCCCTGAAGGCAGGATTCTGCTGCTGTAGTTACCTATGGTCACCTGTTCTATCCCCAGTGCCTGGCACAGTGCTGGTGGAGTATGTGATGGGCTCTCAGTTACCATGAGTTGGGTGAATACAATGATGGGACATTAAGAATGTGTCCTTTAACCTCAGTACTGTGGGGGACTGAGTGGTAGTGGAAGATGACTGGAAGGGCTCAGCCTTCACTGATGTGTCTGACTTTCCGTAGGTGAGGGAGCACCTTGCAGAGGAACCCGCGGAGAGCCCCCCCTGGGAGCTTTTACTGTTCAGTGGGGACAGAGCGCAGCGACTGAGGGTGGACGAGGACAGCGAGTGCTTCTCCGAAGCGCTCAGAGAGGACACGGAGTTCCACGCGACCTTACTGCACATGGTCAAGGATTTTGCTTCTCCAGAAGCAATGGACAGAGTGCGGGCTGCACAGTGCCTGGTGATCGACTCCGTGTGCCACCTGCTGTTCTCCACGAGACTCCTCAGCTACTCTTAATCGCCGCTTCCACCAAGCATGGTAGAGAAGCATCAGGTATGAGTGACTGAATCATTCCCTGGCGGTTAATGTACTTTAAACAAAGTAGAGTTTTGTCTTTGCACACTGAGCTGAACGTTCACTGTATTTCAATGGTTCTTTATTTCAATAAAATGTAGCAGAACAATATATAATAATATCTTTCTCTAAAAGACCGCACCCTGCACACATGGAAGGGATGCAAAATCTCCGACAGTCATTCTGAGAACCTCTCGTTTGGGGTACTCTCCCAGGTAAAACTTACTAATTCACCAAGTTCACATACTGAAAGTTTAAAAACCAGGACACGCAAGGTCAGAGGTGCTGCAGTCACACTGGCGGTGGCCCATTGTGGCGGAGTCTGGTGAACGGCCACAAGAGATGCTCTAGGGCGCCCCAGGAGTCCCCTTCCTGGGCGGGAGCCGCTTCCACGGACTTCTGGAAGAATGGTCCCGTGAGGAAGCTCATCAAAGCTGCCAACAGCACGATGAAGGCAACAGAAAGCCACAGGGCCTTGTTCACCTTGTGGATGGAGGTCTTGAGGTTTGCTGCCCAGGAAGCTCCTGTGTCATAACTGCAAGGAAAGCACAGCAGTCGGTACGCCTGTCCCTACGTACCGCCCGTACAGCCTTCTGCACTGCCTGTTGTGACTGACCGGCTTGGTCTGGGGTCCAGTGTGCAGTCTTTAAGAAATGCTGTGCTATGAGAATCTGAAACGGGGGGGATTTAGGCAGCAGCTCTTAGCAAGCACACACACTGGTTCCTGGGCAGTCAGGCAGTGTGTGTATATGATCATGCCCCATGCTACGTATTTCCCACGATGCTTTTACTCCGTGAAAATGTAACCTGCATTTGTTTTAGAGCCACCCACAAACGGAAATGATTCTGTAACTAGCGTACTGTTTACCGCGGGGATAACAGCATTTTCTGTGTGCTAATTCATCTAATGCAATAACCTTCTATGTCAAAGAAAACGGAATGGCTGCTGCCTCTCCACTGCAGAAAACAGCGCTCACTGTGCGAGTGCACTACTGAGCAGAGAGACAACTTACACTGTGGAGACATCCCACTTGGAGGAGTTATTTTTCTTTTCAGAGAGACTTGACTTCCTTGTTCTTTCTACTATTTCTTCTCCGGGTGGCTCTAAGTCATCTTTAGTTCTGGAAATAAAGTGCTGGTAAATTTTTGTAACTAGAAATAATATAAATGTAAACATAAAATATCGCCTACTTGGGGCTGGCATTGTAATGCAGCAGGTTTAGCCACCACCTGTGACATCAGCGTCCCCTGTGAATTTTAAAATCCCGAGCTTATCACATACTGACAGTGGAAGCTTTGAAAGGCAACAAGATTTCCATCCAGCTCAGAAAAGATCCATTAGCTTATGTTATCTTTGAGGATAGGGAGTCAGTACTGCGTATCTTCTTATCTCTTAGCCCCGCGCATACTGCAGCACACAGTGGATCTCCTAACTGAACAAAGGAAATGAAGACCAAGCGGCGTGCGCAGTGCCTGCCCGCAACACCGGGTTCCGTCCTCCCTCCCTTTCCCCCAACTTCCACTGGTGCAATCTTGATTAATTTCTGTGTGTGCAGATGGAGACTTTTGTCTCCTCTGCTCTCCATTTACCTGAGTGGAAAATAGTTCCATTCTTCCATGAGCTTTTCTCTAGTGTCTTCATGGGTATACATTTTTTTTGGCATCAAAGTTTGAAATTCATAATGTATTGTCCATAAAATGTTGAAGACACCTTGTGAGAGCTACAAAGCCAATGCATTCGCAAATAAACTGTACGGTGCTCTAGCATCAGTGTCATCAGAATCTTTCAAAATTACTATCTTTCTGGTGATGCAGTGCTGTGCTCATCTCCAGGGAATCATGATGATCCCTACTGTTTATGCCCACCTGTTAGGTGAATGGGCACAGCAGGTTAAAACCCGTGCTAGGGAGGCATCCCATGAGGGCCCGTCAGTGTCTCTGCTGCCCTTCCAGCTCCCTGCTACACACAGGGAAAGCAGTGGCAGGTGGTTCAGCTGATGAGGCCCCTGCCTTCAGCCTGCTGCAGCCTCGCCTATTGTGGCCATTCGGGAAGTGAGCCAACCGATGGAAGAGCCACCTGTCCCTTTGTCTTTCAGATACATAAGTCCTTCACAACAATCCACACAGCAAGCTTCACCTACTTGAGTGGACATTTTTCTTCTTCCCCATCTGCCCAGGAGTAGGTGCTGATAAATCGATGTAAGGAAGGACGCTGTTCGCTCTGCTTTGACCCCAAAATGCGCCTAAACAATGGTCAAACAAAATACAAGCTGCAGTCATCCACTGATTTCCTGCAGGTTAGGTCAGCACAGGAGTTGCATTTTCTACATTTGTCCTGGCCAAAGTGACCTAACTTCTATTTCATAACGTTAAAGCTTCAGTAAATAATTAGAAAAACTGGCATATGATCTGCTTCAGTATACTCTACATTATCACTTATCGCAGGTACTCATTTACCCCAATTATACAGTAAAGGTCCCAGAAAACTTCAGACAAATGACTTACCAACTGCTTGACCTCCTGCTGACCCGGTCGTTATTCTCCGCTGCAGCCGCCTTCCAGAGTTCAGATGTTCAGGAATGACAAATACAAATTGAGTGAGGTTTGCATGAGAATGAATTTGATGCTAAGAACGCTTGGGAGTTTTCTTACCGTTCCCACATTTCCAATATTTCTGGGTAAAGAGGCAATGGTCACTCTTCGAAGAGAAGATGGCTACCAGAAGGAAGAAAATGTGCATTTAGAAAATTCTTAGCATTCTGTGCCTATACACAACAGTGATGAACACACACACACCCCTATGCCCTTGCTGCTGAGTTACACAGTGGGCACACTTTCAAGGATCTTACTCTGACCAAGGTGCCTTCCAAAAACATTTTACCAATTCTAGACCACTACACTAGAGTTCTTGCTTAGTTTTTTTTTTTTTTTTTTTAGTTTTTTAACATTTCAGAACAGTTTTAAATTTGTAAAACAAAAATTGTTTCAGTTTGAAAGGCAAAGTTGCAGTGAAGAAGAGGCAGAGACAGAGACATCTTCTGACAGCTGGTTAACTCCCCAAATGGCTGCAACAGCAGGGGCTGGGCCAGACTGCAGCTATGAGCCAGGAGCTTCTTCTTGGTCTCCCATGTGGGTACAAGGGCCCAAGGACTCATCTCCCGATGCTTTCCCAGGCACACAGACACGGAGCTGGATTGGAGGTCGAGCAGCCGGGTCTTCCACTGGCACCCATATCAGATGTAGGCACTGCAGATGTAGCATGCTCTCTCTGGAATACCCATGAATCACTCACAACCTCCTCTGTGTGACATTTGCCCCTATTACTCGTGTGCTTGTTTCTCTCTTGCTACTGCTGCTTTATGCCTGCAAAGAGTTCCTCTATCTCAAGAGGACATCAGTATGTACATGTATGGCTTTTAATTTAATGATTTCATTTTTTCTCCCTTAACAGACTGTTAGAGAGTCTCATGCTATTTTAATGAACGTCTGTGGTCCTAAATCAGCCTTGGGATTTTCACAGCACAGTTTTAAATAAATGTTTAATAAATAAAATAAAACGAATAAATAAAAGTTTAAATAAATGACACTTCATAAAATAAAAATATTTCACATGTAGCAAGCTGGAGCTTCACTGTGCATCCTTTTCATTTAATTTCAGAGATTAGTGAGCATCAAGCCTATTCAAGCAGTATCCAAGCAACCTGGCTTCTAATCATGTGTCTGACACTTCGATCGTAACTTTCCTGCTTCTCTCTTCTATTCAGTGCGAGAGGGATTGGGATGGAATGACTACAAAAAGTGTGGAATCCTGATTTTCAGACACTTCCCCTTGAGTTTCAGTTGTCCATTCTCCCATCTTGAACTTTATTCTGAGCCCCGTCCACAGACCCCAGAATACATCTGTATTCTCCAGTCTTGTATACAATCAAGAATGAACACGCCAAGGTTGTGTTCCTGTCTAGGAAGCATCTTTACAGGGACATGGAACCCGGGTCTTGCTTCCTCCTTTTTCGTGGACTATGCTTTGATGTAACGACCAGCACTCGGTGCCTGGGTCTGAAGTAGTCACTGAGGCCATGAGGTGGAAGCCAAAGACAGACAGTGAAGCAGCAAGAAAGGAGACTGGTTCTTAGGGATGGTGCAAAGCCATGCTGCTATTTTTTGAGAACCCACTGTGGCTACACATTACAGAGAGAAACTACTGTCCTACCGGCTGGCCCTCCTGCTGTCAGGCCAACTAGATATACACATAGAGCAGGAAGTATAAAGGCATACTTACTTCAACAGAAGTACGCATAACCATACCCCCGGACGTATGAATTAATGGCATGGTTTGCTGATTTACGTTTACAGGCATGTGAGTTCCAATACTTGAAACCCGTCTCGCTTCTGTGCGTCTGATAGGCACTTAAATGAATGAGAAATTACCTTGGAGTTCAGAGATGCTGAACGCTTTTTAATTTGGCAGTCCTCTGAAAGGAAACACACATTTTAGACCGTACTCATGAAATGCATGTTAAAGCACTGGCCTTAATTCTTTACAAAGTAAAGCAAAGGACAGAAAAGATGTGTTTAAGAATCCAGAGAATGCTGAGCAGTAAAAATATCTGTCATCACTTACTGGGTGATGTGAAAAAACTGCCCCTGGAACCAGTGGGACACAGCCCTCTGTGTCCCTGCACGTGGCAGGCACTGAGCGAGTGAACGCTGTAAAGAGGAATCTAACATTCTACTGCAGAAGAATTATCAACTCTGGTTATACTTCTAGAGGAGGGGACAGTTCATGAAAATAAGAATCATCAGAAAACTCATTGTTTATTTATTGACTTTTCCACGGCCACGTGTCTCTCTCTCTCTCTCCAGTTCGTCAGTCAGCATACTGTGCCAGGGTCACTGCTTCGTTGAGGGATTCAGAATTAACTTCAGTGAGCCTCTCTCATCAGTAATACTGTGCCTCACTGTACACCGGAGAAAAAAATCCATTCCAACATACGCTACATAGTGGAACACTAAGGTCACCTTAGTGAGATGAATTAACTACATCCTCTCATCTCAGCAATCTAAATTGACAAATTGTTGTTACATTTGTCATTACCAAAAATCCTCCATGTGTCCCAGTATGCCTTCTGACACTTTACTTCTGGCCATATAATCTAAACAAATGAGTTCTTTGATTATAGCCTTAACCTAAAGACACAGTAACATTTAATAACAGAGCATGGAAGAGGAGAATGCGAGAGAAACATCACCAATACCTTCATCATCAAGAGGGCTAAAAGACCTTTCATTCTGCAGAAGGACCTGCTTCAGTTCCTCCAGTTCGGCGTGCTCTTTGGCATACATTCTCTTCAGGTTTTCTACATGCTGAATCATCACCTCCACTGCTTTACTGACCCGGCTTTCCTACACGGAGAAGAGCAGGTTTACATCGCAAGTACAACTCTCAGTGTACAAAAGATGATGACTAAACACATGAACTTACCTTCACTCCTGCCCTGAATCCCAGTGACAATAAATCACATTTTTTTTAAAAAAAAAAGTATGAATTTACAAGGGCAAAGAGAATAGAGGATAATTTCATTTCAACAAGATTTTGCAAAGTGGACAGTAGGAGGACTCGGAGGACTAGGAGTACATGACTAAGACCTGGAAAAGCTACATCCTAAAAGAAGGTGGGTAAGCAAAGCCCAAAAGCAACCTAGGGGACACTACAGAGACCCCAAAGGCCGCCGAATGATCAGCACCTCTGGGACCCAGGTTGAGGGTGGGTATGTGCACAGGACTGGTTGAAAGTCTGCAAACACTGGGTAGAGCCACCGATGATCTCCCTTATTGTCACCAGCAGACCAACTTCCTCGCCACTACTTCAAAGCCTAGAGGGTGAATACCCAGAGACAGGTGAACAGAGTGTCCATGGTTGGAAACAGGGTTGTTGATGTATGTGTCATACTGAAAACAACAGATGTAAGTAAAGGTCTGCATACATCTTGAATACAGAGATCCCAGCTTAACTAACCATTCCACCCCCAAACACTGACAGCCAGGCTTATAAACCTGCGAAGTAGACAGGTGCGAGATGTTTCTCTGGGGAATCTGATACTCCAAGATGCAGTTCTTTTAACCACTGACCTCAGGGGTAGTACCCCAGTGAAACATCCTCACTTACACAAAGCTTAGAGTTCAGGATTTTCCCTGATACCCAGATGGTTAGATTCTAGGGGAAACCAAAACTCATAAACACAACCTAGAAGACATAGTTTCTAGGCAAACAAACTTCAAGCAGACTAGCAATATCCTCAGAGTTAATACTTATTGTGTGCATGAAAAAGATGATATTACTGGAAATAATGCTCAGAACTTTAATCCAAAGAACTTCTGGAAATTAAAAATGTTGCAAAATAGCAGAGTTTAGAGAGAAAATTGAAGCAATGGCCCTGAAACTAAATCCAAAAATACCAAGGCAGCAAAAAGTTGAGAAAGATCAGCTCCGGAGATCTAACATTCAAGGAAGTATTAAAGATGCAAAAAAAAAATCTGTAAAATACAGAAAATGAAACTACTTAAAAACATTTCCGGCACTCATAACCTTAAGTTTCCACCCTTAAAATAGTAACTCACAGCCTAAAACAGTAGATAAAAATAAACCAAAGGAGGGCAGTAGGGCAAAGAGAACATCCTACAAGATTCTAGAAAGTAGAAACTGTCATAGGCAAAGGCTCCAGAGTTAGAGAAGCCACAGCGTTTGATACCACCACCAGACCCAGGAGATGATAAAGCCATGCCAGGGAGATTCCAGAGGAAATGACCTGCGACCTGGAATCCTCCACACAGCCAGACTGGCAGCTGGGTGCCAGAACATAAAGCCACCTCGGTCACGTGACATCTCAAAAAGTTTACCTTCCACCAAAATGGAAAAAAATTAAAGAATAAGAGACAGAAAAGGAACTCAGGAAGGGAGACTCAACTTGAGAGAGTTTCCAGGACTTCTGTGCAAGTCCAAACAACCAGTCCAGATCAGCACAGATCTAAATCTCTGGAAGCCACATCTGAAAAATGAAACCAGCAGAACACCCATGAGCTTCAATGTCTTGGGAGACCTTGGCTCTTCAGAAGAGTTTTAGATGGACTAGAGCTAGGTATAGAGAAAGAACCATAGCGAAGACAAAAATAGCAAAGAAAATTAACTCCAGGAAGAACATGAATTTGTAGAGAAGGAAAAGTCATCTTCATAGACTAATACAATGTACGTGGTCATAATAATGTTTGCACAATTATTATAACTAATAATCACTAACTTATTATTTTTCTTCAATTTTTAAAAGCTTTTAAAGTTGCCTGATAAAGGACACAGTGAACCCACATGTACACATCAGCAAGCTTCAGGAACCAGCAACAGGTTGCCATGAGAGTTTCAGCTCTTGGCCATTTATTTTTAATAAAAAAAAAAAATAAAAGCAAGAGGAACTATTTCATTCCTGAATGCCTCATTAAGAGTAAATGCTGTTTCTTAAAGAATCTCAATGCCATGGTCACATCTAACAAAACCAACAGAAACAACATCATCAAATTTCCCCTGCTGTCTCAGAAACAAGTTTTAATTGGACCCTGATAACATACACGTATTGCTTTTCTTTTCCCATGCTAATACACTATTTACAATATAACATCAAGGACATTAATACACTTCCAGTACGCATCTACTATATCTAGTTTAAAGACATTTTCATCACCCCAAGTAAGTACCCCACACACATTAAGCAGTTCACTCCACAGTGTCCCCGGCCCCTGGACTGGCAATCACCAGTCCACCCTGTGACCCAAGGATCTACCCATTCCAGATACTTGAAATGAATGGACTCCTAATAGGAAACCTCCACCACTTTTGTTCAGTGTAATGTCTTCCGGTTCATGTGTGCTGTAGCATACACCAAAAATGCATTCCTTTTGATGGCTACATAATGTTATATTTACAGCCACAATGTTTTTAACCATCCATCTGATACTAGACACTTCGAGTGTGTGCGGTATTATATTAGTATACATATATATTTTCTTCATCATTTCATTTGTATACTCCATTGTTCTATGTGAAACTAGCATGTTTTATACAAGAAAGTATTCTTTACACTTATTTGTAGAACTGTAACCCATTATCTTCAGGGAAATAAATCCTTTTCATAATTCCATGGTAAATAGAAAAATGGAGAGAGGTTACCTGATTAATGGCTCCCAACATCTCAGCCCTACTGGCCACTCGTGTGCTACACTGGCTAAGAAATGTTATACTCTTCTCCAGCTTCTTAATGATTTCCTGGGCCTGGTTGTCTTCCTCACACAGAAGTGTTAAAGACTGTAGAGAGAGCAGAGTATTACAGTCTATCCATCTAACACAATCATTCTTCAGGTGATTTTTAAGATTTATTTATTTCAAAGACAATTACAGAGACAGCCAGAGAGACAGCGACAGAGAGAGGTCTTCCATCTACCAGTTCACTCCCCAGATGACCACAACAACCAGAGCTGAGCTGATCCAAAACTAGGAGCCAGGAACTTCTTCCAGGTCTCCCACGTAGGTGCAGGGGCCCAAGGACTCTGGCTATCTTCTACTGCTCTCCAAGGCCATAGCAGAGAGCTGGATCCTAAGTGGAGCAGCCGGGACTCAAACTGGCACCTCTCTGGGATGCCAGCGTTACGGGGTGTTAACCTGCTGCAGCACAGCACTGGCCCCTTGCAAGTGATTCTAATACAAAGTTGCACAAGTAGATGCAGTCCCAGCTCCATGATCTTGGTGGGAGGAGGAAAAGGAATAGCAAAGACCAATGATACAGGGTACTGAAATTTTAGTAACTTCATTGGCTAATGGATGCTTATAACATTTTTCATGTCTAGTCTCTATTCCTTATTTATCTCCCAATTCATCACTCCTTCATGTGCCTTCATATCTCTTTCCTAGAGTTTACTGGACTCATAAAAAATTATGCTTACAATTGATTTTCACGTATCATAAGAGAAACATAGGGTGAAATATTTAAGGAAAGCAGCAAAACACAATGGATTAAGAATTGGCTGTGGTTACTACACTTGCTCTCCCATCCATTGGGTGTGATTGGGTATCCTTTACTACTTTATGAATACTCCTTTTGAACCTGCACCCTTTATACAAAATGGTGCCCTGCCTGAGGAAGAACCATCCTTCTCACTAGGGTAGACACAGAAAATTAAGAAATCAGCAGACTTGGAAGCAAATAAGTAACTGTTCATTAGCCATGTGTTTACGAGCAAATCCCCAAGACACAAAGAAGCACCATCATTTTGTACATCAGCAAGAGAAAGTGCTGCCAATAAAACCATAAGGCACCATTGAGTGTAAACTGGATTGTGATTCTGGAACTGTTAGGATGTAAATGTGTATCATTGGCTATTTCCTGATAAATCCGATGGATTACATCTCCTTTGCAGGAATACTTTGCTATGAGAAATAACTGAAGCCAAATGCTTGTCACACAGTAGGTGCTCAATGAATGGCAGCTGCTTTGGAAACAGATTCGTCTGAGTTGCACTTGCAGAGCAGTTAGCCAACTGGAATGGCCATGCTCACAGGCAGTCTCCTGCAGCAGTTTCAATAACCACCCCCAACGGGGCGGGGAAAAGGAGATATTGTTAGCAAAACAGCATATGGCCAGCGAAGATCAAGTCATAAAGAACTAATGCAGCCAAACAGACCTGAAATTACTAAGGAGACTGAATCAGCAATGCAAACCTCCCAACAAAGCAAAGCCCAGCTTCCCTGGTAAATTCTGCCAAATATTAGAAGACGACTGTATATCCTCCAAAAACCCTCTCCCCTCAGAAACTTGAAGAAGATGGAACACTTAGAGCTCATTCGGTAAGGGCTGCATTACCTTCATTGCAACGCCCAAAAAAGGCCTTACAATAAAAGAAAGCTACAGACCAATAACTTGGTGGGTATCGCCTCAGAGATACTGAACTACATACTTGCAAACTGCATTCAACAACACTTTGAAAGGATTGTACCACGGGTCTTCATAAACTTCATGGAAAAATGCATAGTACAAAAAAGAGCTTTGCATAGATAAATACTTTCGCCCCAAAATGCCCCCTTTAAAAAATTTTTATTTTCTTTGAATGGCAGTGAGACAGAGACAGACGTCTTTCATCTGCTGGTAACCTCTCCAAGTAGCCACAATGGCCAGGGTGAGCCCAGGCCTCCCATGTGGATGGCAGAGGCCCAAGCACCTGGGCCACCTTCCACTGCTTTCCCAGGCACAACAATATAGAGTTAGAAGGGAGGCAGAGCAGCTGGGAACGGAACTGGCTCTCTGAGTGCCAACCTTTCAGGTGGCAATTTAACCCACTCACTATGGAACAATGCCAGCCTCATAGCTTTATCTTTTCATTCCTTTTCTCCATGAACTTCATGAAGTATCCTCCTATTACACTTATTTCTATGTGAACCATCCTCTCCAGGAAAAGCTCCCACTTCGCCACAATGTACGATATACTTCAAAAAATATCCATGGAAAGTAGAATTAGAAGATGTTTATTTAATAAAAAAAATTTGAAATCCATCCATAGGTTTTTTCATAGTATTTTCAATGAACATTTTGAAGGCTCCTCATCTATCGCATTGAGAAAAATGGACAAAAACCACATGACTCCTTCAGCTCAGATACAAAGAACATTTGACAAGATTCTTTGTCCTACCTTGATTTAAAAACATACCCAAAGATCTAGGAATGGAAGGAAACGACTTCAATAGAATAAAAGTCAATTAGGAAAAAGTCACAGCAAAATCATACTCAGAGTTAAAAGACTCAAAGCTTTTTCTCCCAAGTTCAAGAAAAAGGCAAAGATGGCTGCTCCCACAGTTACTCAACATCCTGGAGTACCAGTACAGGGACTACAGCAGTTAGGTGAGGGAAAAACACACACAAAGGAATTCTAACCTGAAAGACAGAAAGAAGCAAAATCCTCTCTGGATATACTGAACATTAAAGTTCTTATTGTGCTAAATGTGATAGATTCCATACAAAAAAATTTAGAATAAACAAGAGAAGCAAAATTCAGTGATACAATATTAGCACAAAAAATCAACTGCATTTTATACATAATTTCTGAGAAGGAAAGTATGAAAACTGCTCTATCTACAATAGCAGCAAAAAGACTGAGATACTTAGGAATGAACATTATGAAGGCAGCGACAACCGTATCCACTAAAAAGTACAAAACACTGCTAAGAGAAATTAAGGCAAACACATATCAGTGCAACTACAACTGGTGTTCATGGCTTGGTAGACCTAAGTATGTTAAGATTCCATACCGCCCCAACCATTCTAGAGATGCGAAGCAATCTCTATCAAAATCTCAACTGTACTTTGTACAAACAGAAACATATTCCAGAATCTCTATGGAACAAACAACTACCAAATGGCCAAAACAACCTTTTAGAAGACAGAAGTGTCTGTTGCAGCACCAAGAGTTACACTACCACCTGGATGCTGGCTTCCCATAGGAATGCCTGTTCAAATCCTGGCCGCTCCACTTCTGATCCAGCTCCCTGTTGAAGTGTGCAAGAAGGTAGTGCAAGATGGCCCAAGTACTTGGGCGCCTACACCCCCAGGTGAGACCTGGATGGAGTTCCGGGCTCCTGGCTTCATCCGGGCCCAGCCTCAGCCACTGCGGCCATCTGGCGAGTGAACCAGCAAATGGAAGCTCTCAGTCTCCCTCTCTGTGCCCCTCCCTCTAACTCTTCTTTGCAAATACATTCATAAATCCCTAAAAACAAGTAACAGTATTTCAGATCACAACAGGATAGCAAAACATTGCTTCTCAGTTTTTATTTTCTCCATCCAAAATCAAGTCACTGATTTTTCCAACCCATCTCTGAGTGTATGGAAACTTCACACGATGCAAAGATAATCCTGTCGTTCTGTGTCCCTTGCTCTTCTTCTGAGCAGACTTGCCTGTCATCTGACAAGACTCTAATCTGCTGTCGTCCTTTTTTTCCTAAGTTAATCAAATATGGAAATAGACTTTCGAGTCTCTTCCATAAAGCTGAAAACTGCCTTTTCCTCCTATTGCTCAGTTTTTGGCATCATTATTCTTCCTCCTAAAATCTATTTGAAAATCCAGAGAGAAAACAGATGACTCACACAGCCTACTCAGAAAGACATTTGGGTGTCTGATTGTTAGCACTGCCTGTTAGTGAAGCAGTTCTTGCAGCCTAATCCTGAATTCCTCATGTCCCATGAATTTGCATTTCAGTCAGACAGCACTTGGTATTTGGTACTGGTTCGTCAGACGAGTCAACTGATCTCTAAGTACGCAAACAGCACGGGAAACATGACCCCATGTGACAGTGCCCACATGTTCTAACTCTCACCTCTAATAGCTTTAAGCAGTTAGCGACTTCTTTATTCAGATTTTCTTCTGCCAAGTCACGAGATCGCTGTTCGAGCTTCACTCTCTTCTCGAGAGTAAACCAGTCACACTTGAATCCCAGCGATACTCTGAGGAACTCTGCCTGTGGTCAGAATAGCACGCAGTCAAGAGAAAGAACTGGGTGTGCCCAAGTATTTCAGGATAATACCGCATTGTATGGGGAGGCACTTCTCTCTGCTCCCAGCATCATGCTGATAGGCACTGACCTTGCCTGTGCTTAGCCATCGCCAAGACAAACACACAGCAAATTTAAAGGAGCTTGTACGAGAGCATGCAGTGACATCAGCAGGTGAGTCGGAAACGGTTTTTTTTTTTTCTTGTTTAAACAAAAATGCATTTAGTTTAAACTCACCTCCACCTCCTTCTCATTAGCAGAAGTGCTATGGGATAAAACAAAGATCTTATTCAAATATAGTCCAACTGAAACGTACAACAGGTTAAGATGCAACGTGAAGAAAAACTTACCTGTCACTTTGTCGAAAGTTAACCGATTTCACAGTGCTTCCAGGAAGATGGGAAACTGCAGTGTCTATTACAAGACAATAAAATATTATTTGGTTAAGAAGATGTAATATCTAAAAGCATATTTTTAACAATGATATATTATCTTCACTAAACAAGGGCATTTTCTAAATATGACAGCTAATAATGCATTTGCATCAACTGTAATATAATGTTATGAAACTGACATCACAATGACATTAAAATCATTGGCTCACACTTGAGCTTGTGAATACTTTTTGAAACCATAAGATGTCTGAGAAGCAAAGAACAGCTCAGTTTGTTCTCTCTGTATTTGAACACTTTTTATACAACGAATCTCCAAAAAGTTCATAGAAGATGCATAGTAACCTGTTAACTATGCATGAATTTCTATCTTTTATAACAAATTTATTTGAAAGGCTTGAGTAAAAGGATGGACAGGGCTTCTCCATCTGCTGATTGACTCCCTCAGTGTTCACAAGAGTTGGGGTTAAACCAAACCAACATAAGAAGCCAGGAACTCAATCCAGGTCTCCCAGGTGGATAGCAGGGACCCAGGTACCTGAGCCATCACCTGCTTCCTCCCATGTGTGCATTAGCAGGGAAATGGAATGCAAAGTAGAGCCAGGACTCAAAACCCTCTACTGTGGGATTCGAGTGTTCAGAGCAACATCTGCACGACTCCACCAAATGTCTACCTCTGTGCCAAGCACATCTGTGCCAAGCATTTTTCCAGGTGCCCCATGCATTTTAATTTCTTCAGTCCTCACAGCAACTCTCTGTGGCAGATACTGCTAGTGTCTGCATTTGACAGGCTTGGAAACTGCCTACCATCATTTACTTAACTCACGTAACATTTGGAAGATTAAAAAAAAAAAACCTGCATATAACTAATTCAGCCAAGTACATAGCATACAGTGTAACCTCAACAAAGGGTATTTGTAGCTCATCTTTTCCATTTTTAAGATGAGAAAACTGACTCAAGGTAACATAACTTTGCACGTAGTCAGTCAGAAATTCACCCAGTCTGGAGTCTGTATGACTCAGAAGCCTGAACTCTATCCAGTAGTCCATCCTGACAGTTGAGGAGGGAAGAATCCTAGTGCTTACTTTATAAATAAGGAGTTCTTTACTTTTAGATGGGATCCTGAAAAGGAATTCAAAGTAGAGTTTAAACCAACTATGGGCCGGCGCCATGGCTCACTAGGCTAATCCTCTGCCTTGTGGCGCCGGCACCAGCGCGATGTGCTGGCCGCAGCACGCCAGCCACGGCGGCCATTGGAGGGTGAACCAATGGCAAAAAGGAAGACCTTTCTCTCTGTCTCTCTCTCTCTCTCACTGTCCACTCTGCCTGTCAAAAAAAAAAAAAAAACCAACTATGAACACTGGCTTGGTTCCTGGTTCACAGTAGAGCTCTAGTTATCACAAGTCTTCTGGGATCAATGTAACGCAATGAAATCAAACACAGTGTAAATGCTGCTTCTTTCAAAGGAGATAGACGGAGTCAAGACTGGGATCTGTTGCCTGGTCTTGGGCATGCATGCAGCACTGGAAGGGGCGTAGTCTAACTCAGACTCCACCTACACAACTGTCAGGACGGAGCAGCTCATAGGAGGGTTCAGAAAGAACATTCCTTACCTCCCGCGGCACATGCTTTCCCTTGTTCTTCTGTTGTTTTGGGTTCCTCTTTGGCTTCCTGAAATCGTAAGGAGATATTACTGCTGCACATGGAGTAGAATTATAACCAATCACTTCCCAAAATCCTGTCCTCTCCTAACCCTATGGAGTCATAGACAGTCTGTAGTACTCAAGGACCTGTACTAGGGGTTAAGAAAAAAAACAACACTGGCACCATGGGGCTTCCAATCCAGCTAAGGCCAAAAGTACATAAATACATGAAAAGTTATAGAAACCTGTCACAGTTTACCACTGGACAAACTGTAACTGACTGCCAAATACATGAGGCACATACGTCTAAGTGCTCTGGACAGGAAGGAGAGAGACCACCTGACTTGAGTGGCTTGGACATTTTCTACAGATAGGAGCAGCTGCAGCTGATAGAGGGCCAGACTGGATGGTGGGAGAGGTGAACCGAGGGCCTGCAGCCATCATGTGTGGCATCCATCCCGTATGGGTTTCTGAGGGAACTACGACAAAGAGGGTGCTACGATTGTGCTCTGTTAGGCTTTTAGCCCTCCTGAAAATGCCTTAAGGCCACTGACCAAGTGGCCTAGGAATGTATCTGAGTAACAAAGATCACCATAGCAAAGGGCTACATGGTGCTCTGTGAAGGCATCCAGTAGTGTATACCGTCATTTCTATGGAACTAATCATTTGGCATTCTCAAATTAATGGAGAAACCTAGACAACCAGAGCAATTTTCCATTAAATAGTAAGTCTAAGAAGATAACTATGCTGTGTATTTTTCTGACAACGGAAATTAGGGTTTCAATGAAATGTGACGCACAGCAATGCAGCAACAGTACTGGGCTATGCTCATCACCATTTTAATATTCAGGTTTTTTGAATCCATTCTCAGTGCCACGATCTTCCCAGTTGTGGCATTTTCTCCTCCTGCACTTCACAGCCGCACTTCTGGGAGGATTTGTCCACAGCTGCTGTTTCTGGTTCTTCCTCTCTCATTCATGATCAGTGAACCGCCCCTGACACTCCAAGTAAACTCAGCAGTCATGAGTGAGTGCCCGATTGCCAAACTCAATGAGTAATTTTCAATCTGTATCTCACTTGATCTTCTAGTGCATCTGACACAATCTGTAAATCCCTTCTCTGAGATTTTTCTTCCCTTGGTTTCCCTCCTGGGATGTCCCCAATCCCATGACTTCAAGAGCTCCTTCCCAGTCTCCTCTGCCTTTGCTTTCTCTATTACTGTTCCTTGCCTGCCCATCGGAGTCCCTGGGAAATCTCCACTCACTGGGTCTTTGGCTGATAACTCACAAACATGTCTGCTCCTACAGTCACGTGGGTGAACTTATGATTCTGGGTATATAACTATCTGTAAAGTCTCCTGGACATCAAGCTGAAACTCAATTTGTCTCTACTAGATTGTATTTTACAAACTTGATTCCTCTTCCTCCCTCCCTTCTCAATGCTATACTATTCCTTTTTTATCTTAAGCCATAAACTTGGCTATTTACCTCTTCCTACACCCTTGATAAACTTAATCTACTATGAACTCCACTATGTAATGTATCCCACATTACTCTCTGCATCCTCAGTAGCTCCCATCTCTTACCTGAGTCATTCCAACAGCATCCTCATCAGTCCCACTGCAACCATTACACATTATTTCACCCTATTATTTTTTGAAGTGTCTTGTGTTTTTGAGATGCGAATTTCTTTCTCAAAAGAACCTACCATGAAAGACTCAAGGACCTTAATTTCCTTCCATCCTTTCTGATAATAACAGACATTGCTTTTTAGCATGTGCACTAGCCAAGGCTTTGCTCCAGGTATACTTCATATCAAAGTAAGGATCATCCTAACTCATCACTCATCTATTCATTCTACTCCCTTGCAAATGCCATTAAGTGTTTATCTACCTCATCGCCCCAAAAGTATCCATGCCATCAACCCCTGTGAACTTGAGTTAGCTTGTATGGGTCTCTGTTTCTTACAACCAAATGTGCCTAACCAGAAAAATGTTTATGAATTGAGATGAAAAAAAAATGCACACAACTGTCCACATACAGCATTCTTAAAGAATCATAGATCTAGATCCACAGTCTGTGAGTTACACTTCACTAACGATTAATTCATACCGCTGACAATGAGTCTTCTCTTTAAGGAAAGGAATTCAAGTGTTCTCTATGAACATTCATAGTTATAGTTTTTTATAGCACTTAGGTATGCTACTATATAACATTCACTGCCACCCACATGGTACCCTCCTCTATGACATCTTTTCTGATCTTCTACCTCAAGCAAGTGTCCTTTCATATCCTTAATCGCACTCTTGAGTAGTAATCTACTTCTTCACCTGATTAGAAACATCTTGAAGATCAGTGTTGTATTAACTTTTGTTCATTTATTTAAGTAGTCGTCTACTAAGGGATATTTGGCTCATTTCTAATAGATTTTTTATGAAATAAATGAATGAGTAAATGAATGGAAAATCAAGGTAGAACCAAGAGGTCCTAGCTCCAACCCTACTGTTTGACTCCGGATAAGTCACAAGGACTCTTTGACCTCCATTTCTTTCTCTATAGCTGGAGTGGGGAACATTCAGCTGTGGGCAATATGAGGCCTGTAAAATGGTTTGGTCTGGATCTGCCTACAACCGCAGGTAAGACTTCAAATTCAGAAATATATAGCAGGCTAATTTGTAGGCTGATCACTTTGAGTGGCTTTCCAATGATGTTATAAATATCCAAATGGCCCCTGGCAAAAAAGGTCTCCCACCCCTCGCCTACATACTATTGATATAATTAAATTCTATTAGCCTCATACTGCTTTTATAGGTGAAAACAATAATGTTTCTAAGAGTGCTTTGCAGACTTGAAGAGTCTGCCATTATAATGTATCTGTAATTTTACTGTGACCATGAGTATCTTTCCTTACCTGATTTATTGTGTTTTTTTCTGTACTCACAGCATCTTGGCATGTAATATTCTCTTGAGCTTTACTGGTGCCTGTAGAATAAAGCAAAGACACTGTGCTTTGGGGGAACATTAACAAGGAGAAACAAACAGGATGCAAATATGGGCAAACCAGTCAGTGAAAAAGGCTCTGACATCTGAGACAAAGCATGTGTGTTAAAAATATAAATGTGCCCACTGATTTGGGATCAGGGATGCAGCAAATAAGGCCCGTAAGACAGAGAAGCCCATGGAAGATTTCTTAATGCAGTGAGTATCTGTACAAATGGCCTTCAAATACTAAGTTGAATTTTTTAAATCTTCTTTTAGGCCTTTGTTGCTTTTTTTTTTATCAAGCACATTACTGGTAAAACAATAGAAAGTAGACAAAGGAAGGATGGACAGTTGGTCACTCAGGTCTCTTTTTTAACTTGACAAATATTTTTAGAACTCACATATGCAAAATTGTTAACAAAGTAGGATATCCGTCTACATAAAATATGTAAGTCAGATGTCATCCAACTAAAAAGGAAAGGTACACTGTGATGCTGTTTCCTTTTGCAATTTCCCTTTACTTTGGTGTACTTTACTTGTACTGGAACATGCTTGATGGTTATCCTCCTAGAGGATACCTTGTCCTGCACTGGCCTCACTACAAGCACAAAGGTTAGCCGTTACAGTTAGGATCCCCTTCTTTTTAAGAAAAATAAATATCTGAAACATGTGCTGTATTTTAAAAAAATCATATGGAATTAAGAATAAAATGCTACTCAGTTTCCTCAGTGGTACAATTTTTACTGTACAGAAATTTTACTTTAGTTTTTCTTTAAATTTGAAGACAGATGGTGGGTTCACATAGTCCATGAATTAAAAAGTATGAAACATTTTACAGTGAAAAATTTCTCTCCCATCTACATCTGCCAGAAAACCCACTTTCCCACCCCATAGACAATGTTAATTTTTTCTACCCTTCCAGAGATATTTTATACATAAAACTTTCTTCCTCTTTCACACAATTTTGCAAACTGTATACAACATTCTATACTTTGTTAAAAAAAAAAGCCGTCCTTTGATATCTTTTCATTTTTTGTTATTTTTCTTGACATCTTTCTAAGAAAAAAAGTCTCTTTATACATTCTTTATGCCTGCCTATTAGTATCTCATTACATGCATATGTCTTGGATGACTTGGATAGTCTTGGATGACAACTAAAACATGGGTGTCAATATTTTGTTATTACAGACAATGTCAAGTAACTTATTCACATTTCATACTGTATTGTGCATGTGCCTATCAATAAATTCCCACAAACCAAACTGCTGTATTGGAGCATATGTGTAACCTATGAGAATTTCTTTATGCCTTCAGCCTTGTACCTCTGCCTGTATGACAGGTGAAAACTGGTATCTTGGAGCAGTTTTACCTGAAACATTTCCATACCAGGATACAAACTAAAGTATAAAGATGTTCTTCAATTAACCCATGGAAGAGATTCCATTTCAGCAATATTATGACTAGTCTAATTCAATACATATCTCAAATGTCAATGTCAAGTTCAAACAATAGAATAGAATTTCCTTGATTGCGAAGAGGGGTGTAGTAAACAGATTTTCTAACTGTTGTGATGTCTCATAGGTAATGGTGGAGAGTAACTACTTTGTGTTCACAGTCAAGCAGCAGGAAAGGATACACCATATTCTCTGGTGGATTCTCCTGTCTCCTGAGTGTTTCATCCTTCCCCACTGACAGATTCTAATGAGCAGGCTAAGAACCCCCCAGTCTCCAAGTTGCCTAAGTCCCATTTCAGTATCACTCTATAGTAATTTCTCTTCTGTCTACAAAACTGAAAACAAATTGCAACATCCTCATTCATGAAGGCCATGGTTACCACTTGGACTTCTTTGCTGTAGACTATGTCTTCCAGTTTCTTCTATAAAAATGTTATAAGACAATACTGAATAATATTGCACTACTAGGGATAGTTACTCCACCAACTTAAAGGTTTGCTTAATGGTTAGGATGGAAAGTCCTGACACCCTTCAGCAGCTTACCTTGGCTCTCTATCATGGCCGAGGTTGGTCTCACATTCTCTTCTTTCTCACAGAGTGACTTACAGTCAAGGTCACCAGAAGCCATATTCAAAGTTTCTGATCCAGATTCTGTAACAGGAAGATACGAATACTATGAATAGCATGCAAAAGACGTGTTGGCCTATGTTCTCATTTGCATGCTGTAAAAACAGTTATAACACCCAGTTTTTGTGCCTCTTCCAAGTCCACTCACCACTTGAAGTTGCAGTACTGTCTGTGGACGAAGTGTGTCCGGGCGATGGTAGTGTGGGATGTTCCCTGCAGAACGAGCAGAAGAAATATCGTGGAGCATCAGATCTAGAGAACTCTCTTAAAACCCAACTGAACAGGCACAGATTCCCATAAAACACAAACAGCAAACCTGGACTGTGGCAGGCTCTCAGGGGATGAGCGTTCAACAGCATGCTCCTTAAGGAAAAATACAAGGAGATGTAAGTTCCACAATTTGACATTTTCCATTTCAAAAGGTTATTTTAAGCAAACATTTTCATGAGTTTCAAATGAACCCCTATTTACTTGGCTCTTTTGGAGAGGCTATGGGGCCAGCATGGTATAGGGCACACGGATGCACACACTGCCTCAGAGCTGTACTTACAAAAAACACTCAATTTTAAGTATATTTACACATTTGATATTTTAAGAAAATCTGATAAATTCTTAAGCAAAACAAATTCTAAACCCAAAGGGCAGCAGAGTGTATTTCATGAACTTAAGTCAAGTTTTCTTTAAGCAGAACATTCTACATGGGCATAAAACAATATTTCTATTTATGAGCATATTACTCAACCCAAAACTTTTCACCTAGTCATTTTAAAAATGATTCTCGTTTTCTCCAGCTAGATAAATCATGTACCTGAAACTTAATCCACATCTCAGAATTCTGAGGGATTACGTCTAAGTCAGCATGCATTACGTGGCATTCAAAAAGAGTTTAACAAAACTTTGGCCCCGGCCTGCCAGGGCACATGTTTGAATATCTCATTTGAACTTCTGTAACTTCCACCAAGATCACTGATCTGAGGGAACTCCAGGACATGAGTGTTTGTGAGTACATGCAGATTCTTTAAAGAAAAAACACAGTAGGAACAGAATTTCACTTCTAATAAACTTTCCATATTTTATTTTCATTATTATTTGCTTTAGGAAAATAAAATTAAGATCATTAGCACATAAAAGTCACAGAAAATCAAAAAAGGAAGGAAGGTAATTAAATATTCCATAATCGAACACAGAATTTATTAGTAACTGCCACAACCAACCACGGTTTTCTACAGAGCAGTGCTCTATACCGTGTACAGTATTAAGAGTGTCCAAGGGCAGACGTTTCACCAAGAAGGTGAGATGCCATATGGGACAACTACTTTCCATATTTGAGTATCTCAGTTTGAGTCCTGGCTCCACTCCCAGTTCCGGCTTCCCGTTAATGTGGACCTGGGAGGCAGCAGTGGTGGCTCAGGTATTTGGGTTCCCAGCATTGAGTATTTGAGTTCCTAGCTCACAGCTTTAGCTTGACCCAGCCCTGACAATTTTGCTATCTTGGGCATCAATCAGCCTATGGGAGAACACTCTCTCTCTCTCTCTCTCTGCCTGTCAGATACATTTTTTAAATGTCTTAAAAAATAAACTATCCAAGAAAATATTTGCCACAAAAGGTAACAATTTGGTTTACTACGTAGTTAACAGTTCAGTAATGGCAGCCTACATCTTCAGAATCATCAGATTAGCAATTATATGCTTGTTTACCTACACTCTAATACCTATATAAGCAATGAAGCTATCAAATGGGAGGAAAACCAGGAATCCTTCAGTGTCACTAACAATGGCACTTCAGAAGTACAAACAAGAACTCCCTTTTTTTTTATTTCTTAAAAGATTTATCTATTTGGAAGTCAGTTAGATAGAGAGGGAGAGAGGGGACAAGGAGAGGAAGAAAGGGAGAGAGGGAGAGAAGGAAAGACAAGGAGAGGGAGAGAGGGAGATAAAGAGAGAAACAGAGAATCTTGCATCCACTGGTTCATTCCCCAAATGGCCGCAATGGCCAGGCTGAAGCCAGGAGCTTCTTCCCGGTCTCCCACATGTGTGCAGGGGACCAAGGACTTGGGCCATCTTCTACTGTTTTCCCAGGCTCATTAGCAGGGAGCTGGATCCGAAGTGGATCACCTGGGACTCGAACCAGAACCTATATGGGATGCCAACTCTGCAGACGGTGACTTAACCCACTGTGCCATAGAGCTGACCCCAAACTACTTTCTTAATATTAAAAAATAATCCCATTTAATATTCCACAACATAACAATTATTTCTGTGTGACTTGAAACAGTACCTTCTACTGCACTATAATGAAAAGTTAACTTTGTTAGACAAGCCTTCATTTTCTATCTATCAGGGTAGGCATTATATTCTAATTTAAGAAATAAAAAAGGGAATGCAGTATTTCTTGTCCCATGAAATTGGACTCCAAAATGAGGGAAGCAGGAACACATACTTTTATTTGCAGAGTTTGTATTTTTAAAAAGTCAATTTATCAAGCTCTTTAAAGCCAAAGTAGTAACTACAGCAAAAACACAATTTATTTCCACTGTATTAGAAATGACACTTGTACCATAATGCTTTGCACAGCCTTTTCCCTGTGTCTTACATGTGAATCAGTATAGCGAGAAGCCTTTTGATAAATGTATTTAATGATTAAATAACGACTGCATAATTTTGGTGGAATCTCATCCATGCGGTAGTCATACATTCCTACATTGTCATTGAACAGTCCCAAGATAAGCAATTTGACATTGCCAAATCACCAACCTGTCTAAATCTGCGATCAGCAAACAACTCAACATACAACCCATCTCAATCCTAAATTGGCATAAATTTAGACAAATGGCACTTTTCTTCCTATGAGAGTAGCCAATATAAAGATTTCTTAGTTTAGGATTCTAGCTCATGAAAGCTGGAGGACAGCCCAAAGTATCTGCAGATGTGCAGTGGGGAGAGTAGCAACTGCGCCCTTCTTCCAGGCCACAAGTCCCTAGCACACGAACCAGCGTCCCAGGCCCAGAAGAACCCTCACACAGACACCGGCACAGACTGCTAAAATGATAACCTCAGAGGTGCATTTTAAAAACCAGGAAATTCAAGCAATTGATCAAGAGCGAGCAAACGGCGAGTGCAGAAGAAGGACTTACAGTAGAAGATGGGCTGGAGGAGCCGCAGGCTGCCACAGGCGCCAGCACAGGGCAGGAAGAGTGCTCTCCCTTTTCAAGCCATTCAAATGTTCACCTGCAGAGCATTTACATGAAAATCCCTGAGCCAGTCCACTTCCTGTGGCAGTAAGAGTCCAGCGTAGGGTGGGGTCGCTCTAACACTCGGTCATGGAACAAAGTCAGACCGAGTCTCCCATGGGCTGCCTACCGTGTGCAGCCCACTGTTTGACACACACACACACAGCACCATACCATTTCAATAGCTACATAGCAACATATCAAGCACAATAAGAAAAAATTTCTAAGATATTACTAATGGCCATCAATGGGCCCAGATAACATCGCAGGATCACTGTATCTTTGCTCTTCTCGCGGCAGCACCACTTTCACTATAGATTCTATGATCAGAAACGTCCAGCCCTTCTACTAATAAACACTTGTGTTGCCAGTGAACCAATGTTAGTGAGATAAATGTGATTTCTCCAAACAAAACAATAAACACAAAGTCCTTGTAGAGTTGCTCCAGACTGTACTCAGGGTCCATTTAGAAGAGGAAGAACCTTCAGCTGAACTTGAAAAGATTAGATGTCCTGGAACCTAAACAAAGCTATACTTCCTTACAGGCATTTTTCTTTTCAATTTCTAGAAGCTCACCACACCCTCCGACCTACGGGGCACACCCGCCTCTGGCAGGCTCATTGTAATACAGTTATTACTCAACTTCTACATGTCCCAAGTTTGCAGTTGGCGGTGTCATTTATTCTCCAACAATTTTTTTTTTTTTTTGACAGGCAGAGTGGACAGTGAGAGAGAGAGAGAGAAAGGTCTTCCTTTTGCCGTTGGTTCACCCTCCAGTGGCTGCTACGCCGGCGCCCTGCGGCCGACGCACCGCGCTGATCCGATGGCAGGAGCCAGGTACTTATCCTGGTCTCCCATGGGGTGCAGGGCCCAAGCACTTGGGCCATCCTCCACTGCACTCCCTGGCCACAGCAGAGAGCTGGCCTGGAAGAGGGGCAACCGGGACAGAATCTGGCGCCCCGACCAGGACTAGAACCCGGTGTGCCAGCACTGCAAGGCGGAGGATTAGCCTAGTGAGCCGCGGCGCCAGCCTCTCCAACAATCTTAATGCTTCACTGGCTGAAAAGAACAGGACAATGCCCAGAAAAGCCTCTCTCGAGGTATTTTGAAATCGACCCCATTCTTTGCTGCAGTAAATCTCCCCTTCCTCCTACTGATAGTGTGTCTTGGACAAAAACCTGTAGTGACAGGAAATGGAACAAAGGGAGGCAAGACACTTAGAATTTGATATATGTGGTGTTTCTGGAGCAGCCAAAGGCTCGCGTCAAGGTTGCTCTGAGCCTCACACTGCTGATAACTTCTGATTCTGGGTCATCATCAGCCACTGGCTTCCAAGTGTCTACCATGATCAAAGCATTTCATGTGTGTTACAAAGCTGGGGTTGCATGTGAGACTGCCTAAGAGAAAGGACAGTGAGTTTTGTCAGAACTTTTCATGGAACATCTTAGAGTATTTGGGGACAGGACAAGGACCTATGCAAACATCCAGGTTTTCAAAGGCCCAGAAGGCCTTTGGTTGCCTTTCTGACTCAATGGTGGGAACAGTGACAAAGGGGAGATGAAGATACTAGGGAGGGACAATGCCGAAAGACGGGGAACTGAAGGTGATCCATACGAAAATCAGTGGGAGACTGTCCTGCTGACCACGCTCTCTCAGCCCTGCAGGTCTATTTCTGTGGCCTGCTGAATAGTGATCAGCGTATTGACCCCATCAGCAACACAACAGGGGACTCCTCGCTGCATATTCTGCAAAGGGAAGCCAGAGTCCACCCTCTACTGGCCAGGAAAGAGAGATCATGAGAAGGCTGACACCGAGTTCCAAAGAGGCCAGTAGTTGTGCAGGCAGGGGCTGTGGGCAGGGTGGACAGCAGAGCAAAGGGACCACAGAGATCTGCGTGGTGACGCCTTGTCCCGGCATCTCTCGAGCAGTCAGAGTCTCCTCGGAGCCCAGCAGCTGCTGAGGCTGAAGAACACGAGGATGTGTTGGTGTGCCTGTGCAGAGTCTCGAACACGTTGGAAAGGGACCCCGTGAAAAACCAAGGCTCTCCTCACCAATGCACTAAGCGCCACTGACTTCCCTCCACCTATCACCTCCTTGGTTTGCTTCCTGTACTGGTTAGGCCAGAGTGTAGCC